CATTTATCAAAAATAATCATGTTTTGCTCTAATAATGAACAGTTGATAATATTTCTTTGTTATAAAGAAGAAATTTCTTCTCATAAAGTTTTGTATTCATTTTGTATAAACGAAGAAACAAGGTGAAAGTTAAGCTCGACTTATAGAACTTATTATCTTATATAATTCGAAACTATCGATATTGCATGCTGAACATATTGTCTTATTGACGTACATAAAATAAATTATTTTGTAGATTATTTTACGCGCCGCGTGAAGCCAATTTTGCAATTTTCATGTGCATTTGTGTAAATAGTAGCATATATTGAAAAAGCGAGACAACATATTTGTGACGATATAGATTCATGTTAAAATAGAAACGAATGTAATTCATATTTTTTTGTGTTTGAGGATAAGATTGATCGCGTGGCAACAGCTCACTGGATATATTCATTTGCGAAATGAGACGTAGTGAGGGCTATTTACAAACATATGATTGCGACGGTATGGAGTGTACAATGAAATAAAGAAATAAGAAGGCTGCGAATTGTAAATATCGATTCGGAGAATGAAATACAGTGGCATAATGGAATAGAGTTTAAAATTGTGCGTATATTAAATATGTAAAGCGACCATAATAACGTATTTTATCTATCTTTATTGTAGATTGCTCTGCGTTTCTGAAAATATATCTGCAGAAAAGTTTTTCATGGTAATGGTAGCGTTATGTTTAAAACATAATACCAAAAAATATTTTTTTAATGATAATATTTCAGTCTTTTACATGTGCATACATAATTAAAATTTTTTTTATATATAACTGACCGTATAATTATATAATACTGACTATGAAACCAACGACTGTATTAAAATGCGGTTAAGAATGCTTCGCTTTAAATAGATATACTGATCCTATCTTTAAAGTGCCGCTTTTTCCAATATCATATAAAAAAATACTGTAAATAATAAATTATTTATTTCTTAATAAATACTTGGTGAGTATACTCGCAATTGAAATACAACAATGCAGCAAATAAAGTTGGTATTTACATGGTAAGTGCTTGTGGTTTTGTTTGTATTTTTAGCGATTTGGGAGTCATTTTTGTACAATAAAAATTTGAAGGAGAAATTAAATCTGTCGAAGTATACATATATATGTGTGTAAAGATAACCGACACTATTAAAGAAAATCTATACTTGAATTATGCAATTCGTGATACAATCTAGCGTATTGAAATGAATTACGTGCTAAGTTGTAATCTATCAAATTTATCTCGGAATTAAAGTCAAGTTAAAATTATTGACTACGCTTAATTCTATTACGAATCGTCTATCATATGTAAATATTTGTACATGTCTTTTTTTCTCTTCAAATGCTGTAAAAGATATAGATATGTATAAAGCATAAATAGTTAAGAGTCATACGAATATTAGTATCAAAATTAAACGTAATAATAAAACAAAAAGAAAACGCTGTCAATTAAAATTGTAGAGAAATTTCGCATCTTTAATTATATAATAAGAGACAGCATATCTTACTCTTGTGTATTTTATAATATTGAATTAATCAGGAATTACATATTTAATTACGTGCTTACTTATCTTGAAACAAATAAAATAAATTAACTCTTAACATTTAAAATAAAATAAAATAATTCTTACATTTGCATAATTCATTCTTAATTTGTTCTTTATTTATTTGTTTTACATTTATTGTGTAATTCAAAACTTGCATATCGATATATCTAAAATAAATTCTTATTTTACATGGCCAAATACAAATTTGTATTAAGGGATGCATTAACGAATGAAAAAAATAGATTTCATATTTCCTCATATATATCCGGAGGAGGAAATAATTTAGAAAATGGCATCGTTATTACGTTTGTTCGAAGAAACGCACGTTGGAAAAAAGGGGCATATCCAGTGTATATATAAGTTCATTCCGTTTCACGCATAATGCATCATTTATCCTTGTTTAACATTCGAACAACAAGGATAAATGATATATGCGTGAAAGCACCCATAGATACTGCTCATTTAACTTTTGGCGCGCTTTTATGTACACAACTATAAAGTACATAGGTCGGTATTCATAGTCGATTCTTATTTCAAGACCGTACGTTAAGCAATATCTTAAGATGTTAATGCAGCCCTCTGATTGATTCGTGACTTCTTAAGACCGTACTTAAGAAGACGGTCTTGAATATAAGATTTGACTATGGGTATGGTCAATGCTGCAATCGCTTTGAAGCATTTTTTAACTGATCAGTTTGTAAAATTCTTTCGTCTAATTGGTCCATCAAATGGACTGTGATCAAAATCTCGCTTCAAAGCATTTGACCACAGCCTATGAATATCGGCCATAGACTACGTTTAAGCTTCAGACACAATGCGTGCATTCGTTTATGCAGTGGATAGCGCATCCTTTGCTTTCTTATTTGTTGGTCACATGACCTAAATTTACCGAATGGGTCTCTGCATGAATAGCTGCTCATATCGTATTGGATCGTATCTTCCAATAAAATCTGAAAAAGCTGAGCTGATTGAAAATTAAGACCTAGCGGTCCTATTCTTGAACAAATATCGCATACAGAAATAGCAATTCCGTATACAATCGATCAATCACAATCGAAAAATTCGTCATTTTCGTATGCAAAAATTATATATATATATATATGTGCTCAAAAATAGGGCACCAGCTTCACAACTCATGATTAATTCTTAACTGAGGTTCAACTTATTCTTCATCTCTTTCTAATGCTAGAATTGGAAAGAGATGAAAAATAAATTGAACCTCGGTTAAAAGTTAACGGTGAGTTGTAAAATTAGGCCTAAATAAAAAATCCGAAAATATTAAATAAATTCCAAAATATTATATAATTTATTTAAAAAGTTCATAATTCTTATGTACATTGATATTTTCAATCTATATCTACAAAAGATGTGATTTTTAGGTTAATTTGATCGCAAATACAAATTAACAAACTTCGTACCTTTTACATTATATATTTTATACGTTACTTAACATATGTTTCTTAACATATTAAGAATTTTAAGCACGAGTATATGTGAATACATCAAATACGATAAAGGACGCTAAGATCGGTCAAATTTTGGATGTTACAATTAATATATTATATATTCTGTTATTAAATCAATTTATTTCAGATATAATTGAGAGCCGATAACATTCGGTTTCAACACAATCATTTTGAAACTCTAATAATCCTCCTTAAATTAAATTAGAAAATCCAAAATTTGACCGATTTTGACGTTCTTTATCGTATTTGATGTATTCACATATACGGTTGTACTTAAAATTCTCAATATGTTTATACACATGCGGCCATACAACGCATTCTCTCTGTACATATCAGTTATTACGAAGAATATTTCCGAAGCCTCAATAGTTGAGTTGGCTAAGGGCGGAATTAGACGCATTGAAGATTGAAATTGAAGATTGAAAAATTGAAATATGACCAATCAAAACAATAGAAGCTAAAATTCTTTTGTCCTCATTGGTCAAATTTCAATCTTCAATCTTCAATCTCAATTTTTAATGTATAGTTTGATTCTGGCCTTAGACACTTCCCGGAAAGTTGAGAAGTCTCAGGTTCTTATCTTAATCTTAGCTGAGGTAATATATATATTTTTTGCAATAAATTTCTTACTTACTTTCTTTCTTTCTAATTTAATTTAAGAGGGATTATTAGCGTTTCAGAATGATTGTGTTGAAACCGAATGTTATCGGCTCGCAATTATATCTGGAATAAATTGATTTAATAAAAGAATATATATAATGCATTAATTGTAACATCCAAAATTCGACCAATCTTGGCGTTTTTTATCATATTTGATGTATTTACGTTGCATTGTTTTCACTTTAGTAGGATCGATTTTGACAAGTTGTTCTTAATCTTTTTCATTTTTTAATATTTTAATAAATTTCATTTTTAGTAATACAATCGGCTATTATAACTGGTATTATGAACAGCAAGATATCCAACCTGTAAAGGCAGTTGTAGCGCAGTTTGTCGTTCATTTACGCAGTACTACGAGCATAGCATCTTGAGCAGGACTTCCGAGCTGCGCAGACGGTATACATTCCTGCGTAAACGAATGATAAATAATGCGCTGCAGTCGCTTTTGCAGGTAGAATAAACGAACGACATCTGCGGCAGTAATTGCATAAACGAACTTTATTTCATGGAAAGAAAGGAAACGAAGGATTTTGATTGGTTCAATTTCTTATGCATTATGTGTTAAGCTAGATATACATACACACTTTTCGTAACAGCAATAGTAAAGTTTTCGACCAATCGTGTTGCGCGATTGTTAGGATATATTCACACAACTTGCATAGCCGCATCGGGCAACACGATTAATCGAAAACTTTGTCATCAGTTGACTGTCGATTGTCGATACCTCTCGTGCTCGACAACCACACCCATATATCGACGTGCACAAGTGGCGCAAGTGTGATTCGTCTCGTAGATAAACACTTATTAATATTTTTTCTAAGAAAAGACTCGATTTCTACAGTTGTTAATTTGCTCCAATTGATAATTTCGTAAGTATGTTTAGTTTATATCTTGTATGCGTTGCACTTGAACTATCATCTTTTTTTTGTATGTATGACGCACGCAGCATTATCTAATGTCATTATGTTAATTCGCTGGTACACGATGGAAAATATGACGTTCTCAATTCTTTAAAGTTACATTCTGTTTCGTGCATGATATGCATAATTTATTCTTGTTACATTCGAACAAGAAAAATAAATAATGCATTATATGTGAAATGCACCCTAAGTCAATAATAATTGAGATTGAAGAGTAGATTGATGACATTGGCTGTGTTCAGTAGAGAAAGTAGCTTTGCTTCTTCAAAAATGGCGTCGATTCCGGCCGAAATCATAAATAAATCGTGAAATCAAGGTATAATACACCGGTTATCTTAAACCGGTGAATAGGACGAAATAATCATATGTAATCAAGACAAATAATGTAACGCAATGCACAGTCGAAGCCGGAAACGTTTTACAAAAAATGGATGATGCAATACCCGAAGTGGGCGAGACGTACATCCGTCCCGCTCGAGTGGTCTTTAGCGAGATTTTAAAAAAGTAGCTTTGCAACTGTAAAATTCTTCAATATGATTGTATTTAGATACATAAGGAATCAAAAGTACGAACCAATTGTATTGAAAAATTTTACAGCAGTTGCAAAGCTACTGTTTTCTATGCTGGTATGAAACTTTTTTCTTAAGATAAAAAGTAAAAAATGAAAAATTTTTCCATCAATTTCAATGGTTAAAATTTTCACTTCACTTTCTATCCTAGGGATAAAGTTTTATGATTGATACCCTGAACACAGCCAATGGGCGCGTTTAAGTCGACAAAACGGCTGGCCTACTCGCCAAGCAAATAAACATGATTGGTTGTTACTTATAGATCCAACCAATCACATTCAATCGCTCGGTGAGCAGGCTAGCTGCTTTGTCCGGCTTGAACGCACCCATTGAGTTGCAATAAAAAAATCTGTAGGTACTTGCAGAGAGAATCAAGGGAGAGTGGAGCGGATCCAGCTGGAAACCGCTATTTTCAGTTAATCGTTAAAGTGAATATTGATAGGAACGTGATGTAACGTACGATGTTGCATACACTTTTATTGTACCGCACTAGTATTGGGTACATCCAGAAATACGACCGCTCACTGAGCGGTTCCAGCGCTCCTGCTTCTGGATGCATGTATTGTGTGTATGTCATATATGAAGAGAACACTCCGTTCTATTTTTCCTTGATTTTTTCTGCTTGCTTGCAATTAATTATAATTTTTAGTTGTTACATAGTTACCTAATTATTGTTACATAACAGATATACTATAATGAGAGCAAAAAGTATTCGTACAAAGAAATTTGTTATAAAAAAAGTCTTATTAAATGCGATAATTAATAAAGATTGGATAATTTTGTTCTTTTTTCAAGTTATGTGGAATGGCCCTTAGGCCGGAATCAGACTATGCATTAAAGATTAAGATTAAAAATTAAAGATTGAAATTTCATCAATGAGGATAAAGAAGTTTTGACTTCTATTGTTCTGATTGGTCAAACTTCAATCTTTCAATCTTCAATCTTATTCTTCAATGCGTAATCTAGAGATCGATTCTATATCTTAAAACGAGGTGAAAAATACAAAAGTGAACGAATTTATTAGTATACTGATAATTTCATTAGTTAACATCTAGTAAATTTGTTCTTTTTCACCTTGTTTAAAGATACAGAATCGACCCCCTGATTTTGGCCCTACGATTACCGACGACCGAATTGAACAACGCGATTAATCGAAAACTTTGTCATCAGTTGACTGTCGATTGTCGACCGTGTCGATTGTGTACCTTTCGTGCTCGACAACCACACCCGTATATCCACGTGCACAAGTGGTGCAAGTGTGATTCGTCTCGTAGATAAACACTTATTAATATTTTTTCTAAGAAAAGACTCGATTTCTACAGTTGTTAATTTGCTCCAATTGATAATTTCGTAAGTATGTTTAGTTTATATCTTGTATGCGTTGCACTTGAACTATCATCTTTTTTTTGTATGTATGACGCACGCAGCATTATCTAATGTCATTATGTTAATTCGCTGGTACACGATGGAAAATATGACGTTCTCAATTCTTTAAAGTTACATTCTGTTTCGTGCATGATATGCATAATTTATTCTTGTTACATTCGAACAAGAAAAATAAATAATGCATTATATGTGAAATGCACCCCAAGTCGATAATAGTCAGCCATTGAGATTGAAGAGTAGATTGATGACATTGGCTGTGTTCAGTAGAGAAAGTAGCTTTGCTTCTTCAAAAATGGCGTCGATTCCGGCCGAAATCATAAATAAATCATGAAATCAAAGTATAATACACCGGTTATCTTAAACCGGTGAATAGGACGATATAATCATGTAATCAAGACAAATAATGTAACGCAATGCACAGTCGAAGCTGGAAACGCTTTACAAAAAATGAGTGATGTAATATCTGAAGTGGGCGAGACGTACATCCGTCCCGCTCGAGTCTTTAGCGAGACTTTAAAAAAATAGCTTTGCAACTGTAAAATTCTTCAATATGATTGTATTTAGATACATAAGGAATCAAAAGTACGAACCAATTGTATTGAAAAATTTTACAGCAGTTGCAAAGCTACTGTTTTCTATGCTGGTATGAAACTTTTTTCTTAAGATAAAAAGTAAAAAATGAAAAATTTTTCCATCAATTTCAATGGTTAAAATTTTCACTTCACTTTCTATCCTAGGGATAAAGTTTTATGATTGATACCCTGAACACAGCCAATGGGCGCGTTTAAGTCGACAAAACGGCTGGCCTACTCGCCAAGCAAATAAACATGATTGGTTGTTACTTATAGATCCAACCAATCACATTCAATCGCTCGGTGAGCAGGCTAGCTGCTTTGTCCGGCTTGAACGCACCCATTGAGTTGCAATAAAAAAATCTGTAGGTACTTGCAGAGAGAATCAAGGGAGAGTGGAGCGGATCCAGCTGGAAACCGCTATTTTCAGTTAATCGTTAAAGTGAATATTGATAGGAACGTGATGTAACGTACGATGTTGCATACACTTTTATTGTACCGCACTAGTATTGGGTACATCCAGAAATACGACCGCTCACTGAGCGGTTCCAGCGCTCCTGCTTCTGGATGCATGTATTGTGTGTATGTCATATATGAAGAGAACACTCCGTTCTATTCTTCCTTGATTTTTTTTGCTTGCTCGCAATTATAATTTTTATTTGTTACATAGTTACCTAATTATTAATTGTTATATAACAGATATACTATAGTGAGAGCAAAAAGTATTCGTACAAAGAAATTTGTTATAAAAAAAGTCTTATTTGTAGAAAATAAACATTAATTAGCAATTTTATACAATACATTCTGTTCTAACATAAACAAATGACCTTTGCATGTATTCCTGATTTTAAAAGATAAATTTCTCGTCTATACGAATATTTTTTTGAGCATTCAAACAATACAATTTTTAATTTTTGCTTTTTTTCGGATAATATATTTTGTATAATTAATACGTATCTTTTTGGTATAATTAATTTTAAGAAACATACAGTTTATTTTATTGTTTATAAATAAATTGTTAATTATCCAATAAGAAATGATTGTCAATTAAACGTCGAATCGACGTCAAATTGATGTTGAAATTATCGTATTTATATCGATTCGACATCAATTCGATGCTTATTTTTCATTGGATAATATAATATTTACTTTTTAAAAATAGTTTTTTAAAAAATATTTTCTCTGTACGCGGAATATTTTTTGCATTTACTACATATATTGTAGATATATATACATATATATTTTAAATAATATTTATGTAAAGAAAAAAAAATTAACTGTAAACATTTTGGTCTTTAAAATGGTTTCTATTTACAAATGTAAAGGCTTACTTAAATAAAGGCTTCAAAAAGAAACTCACAGGAAATAATATATATAATATGATATAAGGTGTTCAAAAAAAAAGACTCCGGATTTACTCGGGAGGATGACGAAAGAAATGTTTCAGACGAAAGTTGTATGGTATAAAAAGATCTAAAATAGGTAATAATAACATTGGCTACGAGCCAATTAAAATTAATAATATCTAATATTTAAAACTAGATTAGTAAAAAGTATAAACGTTTCGACACCGATCGGGTCATTTTCAATGTTATTATAATAATATTACAATCAATGTCAGATTTTCATATTACAAAAACAGTATTCTATACGTTATAAAATAGATTTAAAAAAAATATAGATACATATCAAATGTTTCTATATTTTCTATATTTACCTTCCTTCTTTGTTACGAATATGTTGCAATTTACTATGGACTTCTGGAGGTTGGCATTGACAGTAGAAGTTTTTTGGACACAATGTTATTGGTTGTGGAACGGAGCCTTGTTTTTAACGGATATCGCAAGACAACTTTTTCCGGCAGATTTCTTAATTATAACTCACAGCATCCGGTTTGTCACAAGAGAGACGTAATCTATGGATTTGTGAATAAAATAATCCGCTTGTGTCATCCTCGTTCCCAGCAAACCAAAAAATCTAATTAATACTATCAATATTTTTTTTAATAATGGATATCTACTATAATTCATCTTTTCCTTAATACAAAAAAGAATTAAATTTTATATAGATAATAAATACTAACAGAACTGTTAACAAAATACTTAAGGACAAGTTTTTCACAATTCCTTACGTGAAATCCATATCTGAAAAATTCTCTCCAATTGTTAATATGTTCAACTAAATTAGCCTATTCTATTATACTTCGAATTCGCTTAAAAATTTCATAAAAAAAAGGAAAGTATGGTTTGTCCATTATACAATCAAAACGTAGTCTATAAGATCTTTTGTGATATTTACGATGCTAGTTACGTAGGTCAAAGAAAAAAACAATCCAGAAAACGAGAATGGATTGAAATGGATTAAAATAGATTCAGATTTTTAGAAATATGGATTTATGAATATTAAAATAAATCCTTTTCAATCCTGAATACATTTTTATACATTTATAGGAATTGCATGAAACAAATATCTATTCCTTTTCAATCTTGAATACATTCTTATTCATTTATAGGAATGCCATGGAGTATATTTCTATGCTTTTTAATCTAAAAATAATATTACAGTATTTTGTATGCATCGTGAATACTGCTTAATTTAAAATTCTGAATAGGAAATGCAGTTTTTTAATCCAGTTGAATCTAAAAATAATATCAGCTATTTCTATGCATAGTGAATATCGCTAAATTTAAATTTCTGAATAGGAAATACAGTTTTTTAATCCAATTGAATAAAAAAAGTTTTTCTTTTAATGGCCCATTTTCTTAAAATAGGCCATGAATACTATTCAAAATTGTAAGTAGAAAATCCATTGTTTCATTTAAAAATGCATCATGAATGTTATTTTATTCAATTATGTGAATAAGAAATTTTTTGTTTTAATTCAATTGAGTTAAAAAAAAGTTGTACCGTAAAATATATCATGAATTCTATTTTATTTAATAGAAATTTAAAAGAAACACTTAAAAGAAACATAAAGAGAACGTAAATATGTACAATAAATGTTATATATGTATAATAAATTCCTTATTTTTAATTAATACATTAATCATTTTTATGTATATTTTATATTAATACGTTTTCTTTATTATACAGTTAGCGTATATTTTTTGTATAAAAGTTTAAAACTAATGACTATAGAATTCCATGTAATTACTACTTTAATTTATTTAAACTTTCACATGTATAAAAATTTTCTTTTTATATGAAATTCAATTTATTTTTATGGATTTAAAATAGGGATTCAGATGGATTGAAAATTTCTAATCCATTTCAATCCATTTTCGTTTACTGGGAAGATTACAGGAATGTGCTTCCAATATTAATAAAAGATCTAAATTGTCATCGGTGATTTCCAACCACCGCATTGATCATAATCACAATTTTAAGTGGGATAATATTGAAATTTTGGACATTGAATCCTCTTACAACAAGAGATTAATATCGGAAATATAAAAAGACAAAAACATGGGATTAACAAATAAAATGATACGGAATCTCTGCCGCAAACATATTCTAACATCATACATTCTCTTTCCCCTTTCTAATACTTCTCTCCTTTCCCCTTCCACATATTATGTGGAATCTATCTCCGTGTCTATTTGTCTTCTTTTTAACACATAACGTTGTCTGATACTATCGATGATACACGTTTCTTTACTCTAATACAACACAATGACTTAATTATAAAATTTCTGTATCCCTTGCTTTACTCTTTTAATTTTTGACTCACAATAGTTCGACTGAAGAAGGTATTTATAATTTTGTATTTTAATATGCACTGAATTATTGACTTGTTCATTTTTAATCTGTAATTGATATTAATGTTAACGTAACTCTAACGGTTTTTCTATTTATTATACTTTTTTAAAAAAAATTTTCTTCTGTTGGTCTACTTTTAATTATTGTTAGTTGTTTCTTTTATACACTGTGATTATTTTTTTATTCGGAACTTAACAACTGCTTTAAAAAAAATTTTTTTTCAATAGATTGCTTTTTATAGAAGAAAAATACGATTATTACGAGTGTCCCGATTATATTTCAACGTCTCACTTTTAATATTTCGATAGACCACATATTTGTAACAAAAAAAGAAAAGACATAAGCATTTGATACATATATTTTTTTAAAATCTACTTTATAACGTATAGAACACTATTTTTGTAATATAGAATTGTAATATAGAATAATAAGAATTCGACATTTATTGTAATATTATTATAATAACATTGAGAATGACCCGATCGGCGTCGAAACGTACGTACTTTTTACTAATCTACTTTTAAATAATAAACGTTAATAATTTTAATTGGCTTGTAGCTCTTGTTATTATCTATTTTTGATTTATTTTAATTGAGTCATTTTATTAATTTATATTAAAAGATTTTATCAGTT